CACCTGCACTCTCTATTGTTCAACTGATTTGGAGTGACTGGCCTTCTGAACACGTAGCCACTCAGGGTGAACAGCCCTAACATGGTGGAACACTTTGCAGCGTTAAACTGGCATATCTGACATTATGAGAAATGTTTGTCATATTCTTTTTATATTACTAATGTAACACATGTTTGGGTCCTGTGTCGACCTGTATAAAATGATATAACTGTTATTTTGGGCATTGTTTATGAACAAACTAAGCTGTATCAACTGTAGAGATTGAAACTTTTCTTCAATTTGAAGCTATCTAGCCTAGCAGCTGGCCTAGCATCTGGAGATTCAATGATTTAATGACTCAGTACACCTGATCAGCTCATGAAGGGCTCGGTAATCAGTTAATGAGCTGGATCAGTTTTTAGGCAAGGAATAGCTGAAACCATGCAGAGCTGTAGGTCTCCAGAAGCAGATCTAATAAACAATGAGTTTAAATAGCTGCCTAGTTAGCGCTTTAGTGGACACTGCTAGGCTAGTTAGGGTTAGCAGCTGTGAGCCTGTAAGGTGGTACAGCTTTGTTCAACAGCTGTGTTTACCTAATATACTTCAATTTCCAACATATACATTTCATACAAGGTGACACAGGATCATAAGCATATGTTTCATTAATAAATATAAAATACATTGCTCATTATGGTGGACATGTCAGCACAATTCTTTAGCAGTTCTAGTACAACATGCTCCACCATCTTTGACACAGATCACGGTTCTCGAAGCGGACATGGCTACGTGCTCGGAAGGCCTATCATTCCAAACCAATTGACCAATAGACAGTGCAGGTGAGCGCCCTCTTCTAAGATCAGTCCCTGTGAAAATGTGCAAGTAAAAGCAAAAGAAAGAAATATGAGTAATACATTTAGATTTATATCAGAATGAGAGAAAATGAGTAGTAGATGTTTTGAAAAAAATAAGTTTGATTTAATGTATTTTGGAATATTGATTCTTATTATTTTGTTTGTGGATTTTATTACTTTATTTGAAACTTTTGGCACAAAATTAACTCTGTATTAGTGGAGCTCTTGGAGGAATCAAGTGAACATAAGTGTCAACTTTGGCAGCAGAACTTGCCCAGAAATCATTATGACTGATGCATTTCCCTTTTCAAACCTGAACATATTGGCAGACAAAGCTGTTGCAAGCCATATCAATAAACTACTTTAAAATGCTTAACACTTCAAACTATTCCATTTGCTGTTCAGATTTTAAGTTGCACTACTCTATCTGTTATATACGACTGCCAGAGGTGGAAAGTAATGAATCACATTTACTCTCATTTCAGCACTTACATTTTTCCTCATAATGCTATTTATAGAGTAGAATTAAATCATCCTTTACATACTTTACTTGAGTACTTTTACTTCTCTACTTTAATAATGTTACAGAGTAAAAATAATTGTTTTAGCTTATAAACCAATTAGCAGAAATGCTGATTAAGTTTAAAAGATTTAGTTCTGAAAACCAATCAAAACAGAGCAGCTCTCATAAACACTTCAGTTCTGATGAGTTCAGAGATGTCAACTGTCATCTTTATTTAAAACGATCCAAAGAAAATGGCATTATTACCAGCTGCCAAACACACCTACCAAAACCTGCTGAAATCTCATCTTTCCACAACTCAATTTTCACTCTGAGGAACCAGCCGTTAGCTGATTGGCTGTTTATTAAACTTAAAAGTGCTTTCATTGCTGGAGTATTCTCCATGATATGATATTGAAAAGTGGGCAGTACACAGAAGAAGCATAGACAACCCGGAGTTCGGGCCCACAAAGTAGCTTTATCCAGAATTGACCGAGCAGCCAGAGAACAATGCGCCGCGACGCTCTATACTTTTACTTGTACTTGCAGTAACAGTACTCTTTCTTAAGTAGGGGTTTTGTGTACCCTTTATAACCTGATGACTGCTCAAGTACCTTTATTACTTTTCTCTGCTAGCTTGTTAGCAAGCTAAAGGCTACACAGCTAGCAATAACAAAACAAGTCATTGTCCACTTGGCTTCACTGTTTCTCCTCAGGGTAATCCCAAATGCTTTCTTTAAGGCAGTTACATTTCTTTACAGGTGAAGTGTGTTAGATGAGCCTCCAGAGGGGCAAGGGATTGAGTGAAAAACTTCATCGGCAGAAATTCATTATCACTACAGTAACAATACTCTTACTTAAGAGGGCATTTTCAGTACTCTGATTGGCAGGCCCTGCTTTGACTAGCTGGCTAGAAAAAACAGCACAGCAAAACCAGCATTGGTTGTGTTTTGGTGCTGGTATACTGGTCAACCAGCATGACCATGCTGGGTAAAAGAGCACCAGACCAGCACTAGACTAGCATAACCCAGCTTAAGCCAGTTTAGACTAGCATGGAATTCAGGCTAGACTGTGCTGGTCTTTTCAACAGACAAATCAGATGTATTAGTCAGCAAGCTAAAGGCTCCAAAGCTAGCAACAACAAAAATGTAAAGGCACAGAATGCACCACAGCTCTACAGCAAACCTTACAGCCAGACAAAGCAATTATTCACAAAATGTATGTATGTTATTGTGGTGTGCCCCTGCCCCCCGGGCCCCGATGACGGTTGCGAGAGCGTGCCGGAAGGCGGGACCCGAGCGCCAAGCGGTGATGAACCCCGGTGAGGACAGCGGGGAGAGAGCTGTGAGTGGGTGGGGGACGAAGCGCAAAGCCCAAGCTCCGACGAGGGACGAGAGTGACGCGAGTGACGATGGGAGGAGGACGACTACAGTGTGGGCCACGAGAGGCACGAGGGCAGCGTCCTCCTTGTGTCTGGGGTAGCATAGGGCGTGCTACAGTTATGCTCACTTACTCTAAAAAGTTTGCATGGCTAACTGATTAGCTCACTGTGGCAAATCAAGCCAGGGGCAAGTGTGTTCCAACTTGTGTAAAGTAGTTGTGACACGTACACGAGTGGTGAGTCGAAGTTGGCAAGGGCATGTTTAAAACAGAATTCAAATAGTATTGAAAGAGTGAGTGCACTGTTACAATCCCCTCTACTTCCACTCCTTAAAAACTCCATCTCACTAAATCCTGGGATTAAAAACTCCAAAGTCAGAGAAACTTAAAATGTGGTTTAAAATGTTCCTGTCATTCCTTCTTTTCAGAGCCTTGAATTTAAAACACTTTAAAATGCCATTACTTTATTTACTTTCTGCATCATTTTATTTCAGATATAAAGTTTGTGTGCATATAAGATCTGTTGAAGCAGAAAGACAAAGAGAGAACGCTATGGTTGTGGAGATGCGTATCACACCGAACCTCTAAATGAAAGATGAAAATTGACAGCCAGAAAGTCAGAGAGAGAAAGAGAGAGAGATGCAAGTTGGGTTAGAGAGTGTACTTAGTGTCAGATGTGCTCTTCTAAATGGTAACCTCCAGTTGGCCCACAGGCAAGGAAAAATCCATAATGGCCTGGCTGGTGGTTAGATCAGCCCTTTATGGACTGTTATCTGTGTTCAAGCGGCTCGATAAACAAGATGTGTGCTGTGCAGCTAATGCACAGCCACAGCCTAAATGGCAGCTATCTGTAGTTTTAATATGATGACACTTTTAAGGCTTGCTGAAAATGGACCACTGGACGTTTCATTCTCTGCTCATGTGCTTTCAGGCAGGTGAAAAGATGATCATTAGTCTAACAGTATAGCAGTGTTGCCCAGTCCTGGTGTCTGAATCACATTGTAGTTTTTACTATGATGCTCTAAAAATATGATGGTGCCAAAAGGGTTCTTTGAGGTGATGCCATTGAAACATCACCTTAGTTTCCCTCAAAAACCTTAACAAATCCAGTGCTTTTCTGTCACTTACCACAGACAACAATTTAGACATTTTTCCCATATGTAGTAAAAGAACTAAAAACCTGTTGACTCAAAAAACTATTATAGCAGAGGCCAATGTGCAGTATGAGTCAGTGGGTTTGTTGTTCTTTCTTTTTTTTTCATTGTTCATTCTTTTTTTGCTGATCTGGGAAGTTAAGCAGGGTTGGGCCTGGTTATTATTTGGATGGGAGACCGACTGGGAATACCAGGAATACCAGCTTACAGGTATACCACTCAGAGAGTGTCTGATCTCATCTGATCTCGGGTTTGGTGTTCTTTTACTAACTACAGCAGCGGTCACCAATAGTGACAAGGGATAAAGTGAACATAAGTGTCAACTTTAGCTGCAGAACTTGCAAAGAAATAATTGTGATGTGAAGCATTTCCCTATGCAAACCCAAAAATAATGACTGGCAAAGCTGTGTATACGCCACAGGAATAAAATACTTTTAAATGCTTAGTTTTTCCTTTTCAATTCAATTCAATTTGCTGGGCTTTAGTTACAAACTGCTCCATCTGTTGAACATAAAACTTCATTACTCTGCTAACTTGCTATTTAGCAAGCTAAAGGCTACATAGCTAGCAGCAACACAAGGAAAGGCTCTACACCACAGCTGTCCACAAAAACAAAATCAGACAAAGCAGTTATTCACAAAATTAATGTATGTTGTCTTTAAATTCCTTTTTTTGATGCATTTCTGTCCATTAGTTAATAAAAACATATGAACAATGATTAAATGATAGATAATATCACTAACTTAGCGAGGGGGGGGGTGACAATGTTATTGAATGAAGTCAGAGGGCGTCAGTGGGCCAAATTCACAAAACGCAGTGCCAAATAAGTTGAAATAGCCTGGCGGTAACATGTTTGCTCATTCATAAATGAGGATTATTGGTGAGTTTTACTGCTTGCGCAATGTGAGGCGTGATTGTGCAGTTACCTAATTTAAATATGAGGCCATTCCTGACATGACAAAGACCCACAAAAAATAACACCTAAACCACTCTGCCGGTAATTATCCCGTAAGAAGCTGATGTGGGTTAAATTAGATTTTTTACAATACTTCCAAACGTGTTTTGTAAAATCAGTGTATGTGAGTTGGTGCAGAGTATAGCTGATTTTAACCAGGTGTGTTGGTCATGGGAAAGGTCTAAGGCCATACCACCCTGAGAATGCCCGATCTCATCTGATCTCGAAAGCTAAGCAGGGTTGGGCCTGGTTAGTACTTGGATGGGAGACCTCCTGGGAATACCAGGTGCTGTAAGCTCTTTCCAGGGGCAGTCATGGGCTGGAGGCTAGGGAACCAGCCTTGTGACCGGAAGGTTGCTGGTTTGATCCCCTGAAATTTCCCTGTGGTGGAACTAGTAAGGGTCACTTAAAGCACTAAAATGTGCAGTGTGCTGCTACTTGTGGACCAGGACAGGGAAACACTGGCCTAAAGCTATAGGATGACTAAAGTTCTGAAGCACAATGAAAGATTTTAAGTGTGCAGGGCTGATGAGATCAACAACTTTGTGATATGGCGGAAACATCAAGGTCTGAGTCAGAGGAGCTAAAGAGCAAAATGTGTGTTGAGACGATCAAAAAGCAGGACAGTCTCTAAGTTCTGTTTCATGTTGTTTGAACACATAGAGAGTCTATGGTTCATATACTTTATAGACTATACTTTCATAAACCACTTGTCCCACAAAGTGGCCTGGCTCTTAGCCAGAAAATCTGAAGCAGGTTCCAAAGTACCTGCATGGTCCCTGCCTAGGGTTCAACTTTGTATTCTCGCATAGCCTCAGTCCTTTCCCAGCTAAGACACTTCACTCTGAGTGCCAGATGGTTGTCTGTGTGGTGTCAAGACTCGGGCTGTCTTCTGGTTCCGCTCTGCGTTGTTGCTAATTAGACGATTTGCTGCTGGAGAATGGCCCGTGGAGCAGATTCCACTCAGCAGAGAGATTCCAGCAGAGAGTAAGCTAGATTTGGGATGTTGGCAAAGCTGGTTTGTAGTAGGATTGGTGTGCGGGTGGGGGATGGGGGGGCACATAAAGCTCTATTTGACATGTGAGTCATCAGATACATTTCAAATGGAAAATGGAAAGATTCTTACTAGACATGTTAAATGCCTTGCAGATGGCAATCTGCTCTGAAATTGAAGAGGTAGATTCTGGTTGCAGAGGTAAAGAACCAGATAGAGTGAGAAAGTAATGAAAGTAATGTTTCTCTCTCTCTTTCTGAAGAAATCATTCTTTTTCTAAAAAGGTACCATGACATCAAGTTCAAGAGAGATATTTTCTCATGTCTTTGGCTTGATGAAATCACCAAGGTTGACCTTTTCCCCTCATAACGCAAGCCCATCTTCCTCATTTCATGTTAAAGGCATGATATTGAAAAATGCATTGGACTGATATGACTCATTCTACTGAAATGGTTTAGAATTCTTAACACATTTTAACTTACTTGGACTTCAGACTAAAACATTTTGCTTAAAGTAAACCTACATTTTTATTCAGTTTGTTTTATTAAAATAAATGATTAAATGTTCCATATTGTCAGTAGCAAAACAATCACAACACTACCAAAACTTTACCAAATGTTTCAGTAATGACTGTTTTGCTAGTGATTTTAGCTAATTTTGATTAGCTTAAATAACTCATAAACATTGGCCAGTTCATGACTAATAAACACAGCTTTGAGCAGTTGTACAAATATAAAACCATAATATTTTTTTTTCATTAACATATAAAAAAATTTACTTAATTGCAGAAGGGATGCAGTCTCACTTCCTGCTCTAAAATGCAGGGGTGTGGCTAAAATAAGGCTCCACCTATGGATTAAAACTCTTTGTGTTTCGGTAGTGACATGAAAACAAGGGACAGTAAAGTTTTTACTTCATTGTCACAAACATTTCCCAATAAAAAATACCTTATAAATAATGCTTTTTTAAATATATTTAGCTTATTACTATCTCAGTTCACACTTTGGATTTGAATAGATCATAACACAATGCTAATATATGTTAAAATATATCTAAATGGGTCTAAATACTTGATTTTTTAGTTTTTTACTGTGTGACTGCAGTTTGAACTCAGTAAATGAGTTCAGTAGAATTCAGTAGAATAGCCCATATAGGCTGTAACATACATGCTTAAACAGTGAAGCAAGATGAGCATCTGCCTCCCCTACTTTCATTGGAATGGGCAAGCATACGCTACCGCTCCCCAACTTTATGTTTAAAAAAAATACTTTTTATTTTTATTTCAGTGTGCATAACTGTGTGAGCATGAGTTTACTTTCATCAGTTTTTTTCATCAGTTTACTTTCAGTAAAGAATGAGAGCAGTGAGAATTTATGTGTGACACAAGCAAAGCACTTACAGTCAATGGTAGCATTGAGATGTTGTCTTATCATTGTTCTCTATGCAGCAATGCACACTGTGACTGAACAGCGCTCCTCTAGTCTGTGCATCATGCTTCATGTTTTTAAACCATGTGCTTAAAGCCCTGTTCGAGCTGGATTAGTTTAACCTGGGGAGGTAATTTGTAATTTGAGTGATTACAGATGAGATCTATGATTATAATCCAATCTGTAATGTCCATAGTTTTTACTTTGTTGCTATGTGAGTCTATGAAGTAATAATTCTGGAGTGAAATACTTCTATAATTCAGAACTTGGAGCTCCCTCAGTAATAGTAGTCCTATTCGAATCAACATCACAGTTATGCAATAACAAAATAAGTGATAGAAAAATGGCGCCTGCATTTTTTCCTTTTTATTGACCTGAAGACAAGGCTAACAGCTAAAATGGATCTTGAACTCCTGAACCCCCCCCCCCAAACAAACTCCAGTGTCATGTTTGGTTTGGTTTTGCCAAATTATTTCCCATTTAGCGCACTGTTTATGTTTACCGTTTATGGTTTCACATACAAATCACATACAAATTACATTAGGAGAATCTCTCAGGTAGAACTAATCCAGCTTGAATAGGGCTGAATTTAGAGCTCCTTCTGAAATAGTAGTCCTTTTCAAATCAACCTAATGGTGATGCATAAATAAAACCTGGTTTGTTTTATGGCTGCCAGAGGATGAGGCTAATTACTAAAATGCTCTTGGTCCAGTTCTTTTATCCTCAAGTTCAAAACAAGGCTTATGTAATCTAAAACATTTTTGGCAATGGCCTAAGTAGAGGAAGAATAAAATAAAATAAGGAAGTTACCTCTCACAAGGCTGAGTGATATCTGTCCCCTTGGGTGACATATGTTAAGACCACTTTACTAGCCTAATACTATTCTATCTAGTATTAGTTATTACATTAGTTTTTGTTGTTTTTTTGTTTGGATCCATTTAAGTCTAATGTTAACATCTAGGTTAAGATGTGACACTGACCTAGAACAGCACCAATATGATAAGTGAACCTGCTAAAACTTGCTGGGGAAATGAACACAGTTTACTGTTGCTTCATAAAACACTGTTGTTCCCTTTGACTACCATGGCAACAGAGCAAGGGTGTTATAGGCTATCCTGTCTGTATGTGTGTCACAGTGCTTTGAGACTTTCAGCATAAAGAGGTCACACTGATCTCTTAATCTGACTCTTTTAACTTCCTGGAAAGTTGTTCCCTCTCTCACACAGCATAAAGCCAAAATATATAATCGGGAGCACGTCCTCAGATTATGGGATAGCATTGTTTACTTTGTGACCTCTGTGAAAGACCCAGAGGGACAGAGATTTAAAAGATGTTCCTCTTCTCTGGCGTTGTCTCCAGTAGGCATGATGTGCGATGTAAACCGGATTATTATTGTTGAGTAGCAGAGTAATTTTTCTCCCGGCTCACAATTAATCAAACTTCTAACTCCCAAACTTAATTACGGCAAATAGGTTTTAATCAGATGTAAATGTTACTGGGTAATTTTGCAGATTAAATCATTATTGCTTATAAAAAGTATATTTTCCCCCCTCAGACTGTGTGGCTTTCAGCATGTGTTGTCAAATATAATTAGAATCCAATCCATGTTAATTACATTTGCATAAATTTTAAGAAGTCAAAATCATTCATTGCTGATCCCATTTTTATTTTTATGGCCAAAAAAAGTTTTAAATTCTCTGTTTCCAGAGACCCCAGTTATAGTCAATAAACACAAGAAGTCACTGGATTGGATTTGCATTGCATGGTTTGCTTGTTTGGACCATTGTTATTATATACACATTCCAGTTTGGCTTGTGCTGTATGTTTAATATTTCAGTCTTCCAAGGTGTAATCTTAAAGTCCCAGTGATCTTAACTCCATCTTCTAAGTCACAGAGAAGTATCTCCAAAGCTTGAGGCTGCCACCACAATTCCTTTTACAGTGTTTAACATGCCAATTCCCTTGTGCTCGCCATTTCCCCCTGGGCGAGTCCCCAAAACCCATACAGAATATCAATACACCATGGAGGGAGAAGGAATTGAGCTACATTTGATGCTTTTCCCGTTCAACACCCAAAAATAAAATACTGAAAATACAAACTATAATGATTTACTATTACAGTCAGGTTCATTAATATTTGAATGTCAACAAAGTTATTGTTACTTTAGAATTTAGCACAGCATCTTGGAGTTAAATAATGGTACATTGGAAATTAAATAATGTCTATGTAGTCAAAGTGAGAACTTTCAGCTTTAATTTGCTTTTAATCAGCTTTAAATTGGGTAAATGATATAGGAAGCTATATACAGCTATTTTCATAAACAACCCCCCTCATTTTTAGGGGCTCAGAGTAATTGGACAATTAACATAATCATATATTAAATTATTATTTTTAATACGTGGTTGCAAATCCTTTGTAGTCAAATACTGCCTGAAGTCTGGAATCCATAGATATCACCAGACACTGGGTTTCTTCCCTCGTGATGCTCTGCCAGGCCTTTATTGCAGTTTTCCTCAGGTCCTGCTTGTTCTCAGGGCATTTTACACCTAGTTATGCCTTCAACAAGCGAAATGCTTGCTTGATTGGATAGAGGTCAGGTGACTGATTTGGCCATTAAACAACATTTCACTTCTTTGCCTTAAAAAATTCTCAGGTTGCAATTAACTGAATCTCTCTTGATTGTTGACTTTGACACAGATATGCCTACTTCATGGAGGCTGTTTTTGATCTGCCTAACTGCCGTGAAGGGTTTTTTTTTTTCACCAGCGAAAGAATTCTTCTGTCATCCCGCACAATTTTTTTTCAGTGGTCTTCCAGGCCTTTCGGTGTATCTGAGGAAATTTGAATAAGACGCTAAAATCAGCCTTGAGACACTG